TAGAAACTAACGTATTTAAAATATGAGCTGCTGTTCGCTTGTCTTTAACGCTTTACTTCATAATTCAGTAGTATATCCTTTTATGGTTGGTATTTGTAAGTTTCAATCAGATACGCGCAAAGTGACGTTCACTCTTATTTTCCACCACAGTTAATACTAAAAAGATTGATCCTGTCGAATCAAGATATGAATCTAGTAAATATTGCGAAACACCTTCTCTACTTAACACAATCGGAATTTGGCTTTGAAGCTTCAATTCCAAGCGATGATGAGATTTATGCATCACAACAATTATTCAAAATTTTAAAATCACTCAAAGATAGTTATTTTAATGAACTGTACACTTATGAAAGTCTCGATTTCAAAGACGAATACGATGAAACAACGGATGAAGAGGACACCAGCGATGAAGAAGACACCACTGATGAAGAAAATACTATTGATTATGATGAAAATCAATATTCGAATATTTACAATCATTTTACGTTAGAAGAGATGGAAAAAATAGTGGATTGGGTTGACCAACATCCAAATTGTAAATTTGCAACTATCACGAACAGGTTTAGAAAAGTCAAATCTATGAATTATATTCCAAGATTTCGAGAATATATTGGGAGGAACGGCACAAAATTACAAAAATTAAAACAAATCATGGAATTCATGTGGGAAGAATTTTATATGAAACGAGCAACTGAGAAAGAAGCAATTCATGATAATGACTTAGAGCTTTTTGCGATACAAAAAGCAAAGGAACTAAGTTGGGACAATTTCAAAGCAGGTAAAGCATTTACCAATGCGTTCAAGAGAGAAAATCGGATTTCATCAAGGAGGTACAACAAATTGATTACACGAATTTATACATCCAAAAAATATGTGGTTTGCAAGGTATGTCAAGTTCTACTTGAGATTCTGGTGTATTCGCGTAATGTGTGGTATCCGTATATTTTAGATGCTCACAATTGGATTGAAAGTCAAAGGTCGTTAATTTTGAATTATTCCTCTCAACAAATTTTGAACAGTGATCATTGTTCATTTCAACAAGAATATATTTCTTCAAGAACTCTTTCTTTTACTGGTGAGAGAACAACAAAAGTTGCTGTTAAAAAGAAGAATAATGTAACGCACTCATATACAGTGCAATCTATTACGTCAGCTGATGGTCAATTATTGAAGAAATTTTTTCTTATTCTCCAAGAAAAAAAAAATGAATTTGGTAAGCGAGTGCAAAAAAATTTAGATGTGCCACAAAATGTCGTAGTACAAGCTTCAAAATCTGGAAAAAGTAGCGATGAAAAACATCGCATTCTTTTAAATGAAGTTTTACGTCCTTTAGTTGGCAGAAAATTCCTTCTTTTCCTTGATTGTTGGAAAACTCAAACTGATCTAAAAAAATTTAGAGCAGTATTTCCACATCAAGACAGTCAAC